TTCTACTCTTTTAATTTGTTATCATGTGCAATGCCTTGTTTTGCTTTATGCTGCTGCAACAAAATGTTTTCCCAAATTGGGATTAATAAAGTACATCCTATTTTATCTTATATTTATTTTTAAGCGTCTGCATTGTATTATTATTCCAGTTCCTGTGCATGACTTCGTTAGCTTCCTCCTTGACACACGTTTCATTTTTTGCCTCCAACGGCATGAGGGGAAGATAACGATTGCTATTCTATTGGCAATTATAGGAAATGATGAAATCCGTGTGACACCTCTCTGAGTGTCTGAACGTTACTGCTGCTCCGTGCACTTCATCTTGGTGTTTATGTCAGCAGACTGTGGGAATAACATGTGATTATGATCGACTGAACAGCGAGTTGACAGTGCACTTAAGGGACTTATAGTATCAGAGTTGTGTTTAGTTAATGATAACCACTGGAACGGTGAGACTGTTAAGTGCACTTATTACCCGTGGTGGGAAGCACTGTACTTAAATATAATCTGAAGGTACTTCTAATTGAGTATTTCCCTTTTTCTGCCACTTTATTCTTCTACTCCACTACAGCTCATCTCAAATAGTGTCATGTTTACTCCACGACTTCCGTTCGACACTTTTTACATACATAACGTGATGTGTTTATATACTACTTATCTTCTCAGTAGTACACACAGTAACTAAACTTTGCTCCATATCGACACATTTCGACATTAAAAAGGGTCTTATTTATAATTCTTAGAGATGAAAACTGAATATTTAAATATTTATAATTCTAAAACATTTCTAAAAGAGCCATCTGCATAACGAGTACTTTGGTTTTTGGTCGTTTGAGTTCATTTTGATGGAAATACTCCTGTTCTTTTACTTAAGGAACATTGTTAACTCAGGGCTTTTTCCAGTATTGGAGTATTTTGACTGTGGTATTAATACTTTTACTTAAGTAAGTACTTCTTCCACCTCTGCTCATTACTGAACCCCCCAGCGAGCTGTAGACTGAACTTTATATGAGTATTTTCATTTCTATTTCTTAATCCCGTTAATAACTGCAATATATAACTGGCTGCTATCTTCAGAACTGTTACAGGATGTGTATTTTGTAAATTGTGTAATATTTAAATGTGTTGTATGCATGCTTCTTAGTTAACAATAAGCTGTCTTTGGCTCTTTTCTGGTGTAAGAAATGTAACATCCCCCTCTGTGGGACTAATGAAAGTATTGTGATTCTGATAAACTTGTGTATTTTGGATGCTTTCTGTACTGAAAGAAGATAGCTTAAGTGTCCAAAATGTCAGAACCAAGCAGTACATGCTCTTTCTTTCACACCTCCTTACACTGACAGCACATAATACAGATGTTTGGGTACCTTAAAGTCCACAGACAGCTGAGGGCTGTACTCCAGAGTCCACAGAGCGCGCACCAGAGCCGCCAGCTGCTCCGTCACTTCTCCTTTGTCCAGCCGGCTCTGCTCGCTCCTCAGCAGCCCGTTGATCCTCCCCAGGTCCACTCTGTACCTCTGCAGCCCCAGATACTCCGCCAGCAGGTCCGTGTTGCTCAGACACTGCACCACGGCGTTCATGAAGCACGTGTTCCCGTGGTTCTTCAGACCCTGAACCTGTCGTGGAGGAAAACACCACTGTCAGAACAAGGAGCCGAACAGGTGGATTCAGGTGCAGCCAAATGGGATTTATTCAATACTTATAGGTAAACAAAACAAATCCTGTGTGTTCTGGTCTTCTTTTATAGCCTTCATATATTCCCCTGGAATGACTTTTTCACTTGCTTCATACCAACATACTGTTTGTTCAATGGCATATTGAATCATAGTATTTCAGATCAGAATATCTTTATTCCTCCAAGAGGGGAAATTTACATTTATGAATTAAAAAATGACCAAATTCTCTTTATTCTATATTGTGTCTGGACTCAACTTTCTTATTTATACCTGACCTATAGTGTAGGCCTATTACATGTTCTACACTGGAGTTTGTAATGTGTATACCTCCTTATACTGTCCATAGTATAAATACTGGCAGATATTATATTATACTATAGAAGTTACTCTGCACTTTACTACTGTGTTGTACTTCTGGTTATCAGCTCATGTCGTTGTCTTGGTACTCTGTGCAATGACAATGAAGTTGAATCTCATCTACTCCTGTCTTAATATGTGGATAATGATATCAGGCTCACAGTGACATTATCTTACAGTTCATTAATAATACTAATAATAATAATAATAATAATACATGAGACTTGCATAGCGCTTTTCAGGAAACTCAAAGAGGCTTTGACAGAGCAAAAAAATAAAAAAGACAAAAAGACATTATTGATATTCAACAGTTGCTGTGGTTGTGTATCATTGCTCAACACATTTGACATCTGCTATAATACACTGAGAGCTATTGTATTTAATGAAGGTATTCTGTAATAACCTAATTAAATACACACTCTGTTAATGTAGTACAGGTTAACCCTCCTACCCACCCCGGGCACTCTGTCCGCGTACTGGTGCCGCAGCTTCTCCCTGCCGGTGTTCAGGGACCAGGACTCGCTGCTGCAGGGCTTCACGTTTCGGTCCCAGCTCACATGCATCTCCTCCTTGATGCCCGTGGAGCTCAGAACGCACGGAGTTCCATCTCCAAACCCTCCGTCGTCCTCCTCCGCGCCCTGCTGCGCGTCCCCAAAGCGCGTCAAGGTGCCCAAAGTTTTGATGATTCTGCTCATAAAGCTGCCCACAGACTTCAGGGACTTCCTCTTGAACAGCTTCCCGCCGCCGGGTTTCTTCTCTTTGCGCTCCTGCTGCTTCCTGCTCGGCTTCTCCATGCTGCTACTTCTCGGACTGGAGATGGTGATGGAGTGAGTTGTTCCGGTGCCGGTGGCGAGTCACTTCTTCTTCTTCTCCAACAGTGTCCCCTGTCCGGGTGAAAGCGCGCAGAGGTGACGCCATGCTGGAGGCACCGCTCACTGTTTTCCTCCCCCTTCCTCCTCACCCATCGCTGCACTTACTGAAGGCGCTCATTATGTCCGCAATCCAGCGTCATGATGCCCGGTACAGCCTGCTCCTCTGCTCCCTCTCAGAGCTCCGCACCGAGCCGGAGAAGCTGCTGATTGTGAAGCTGCCTCCTCCCACTCTCCCCCCACTCTACCCCACCTCTCTCTCTCTCTCTGCACATGGAGGAGATAGTCACACTGGGCCTAAAGAGACCTGTTTTTATTTCAATGGTGGGAAAAGTACTCAAATAGATTATCTAACTAAAATCAGAGGTCGAATTAACTAAGAACATTTACTCAAGTACTGTAGTCTGTACTTAAAGACAATATTGAGATATTTATACTTTACTTGGGTATTTCCATGTTATGCTATACTTTGTACTTCTACCCCACTAAGATTTACACAGAGACGACTTTCTTCCCGTCACTTATTAAATCCTTTTTATGGCTTGCTGTCGAAAACAGTGTTTCTACACATTTCTTCAAGGCTCCTGTCACTGCGATACTGATTTCTACCTTGTTTACGGCATGAAAAATGATAGAAGTATGAGATATATGTGGTTGAGTAGTACATTGTTTAAATACTGAACTTAAGTACAATTTAGCGATACTTGTACTTTACTTGAGTATTTCCATTTTATGCTACTTTGTACTTCTACTCCACTACATGTATTTAATCCCTTTAGTTACTTCACAGATCTGGATGAATGATGTGAAATCTAATCAAGTGTTAAATCAGACTTTAGTTCCACCTGGAGTAAATCCACAAGCTACCCTGCAGTATACAGTCATTCAAACTAGCTGCACCTTTACCAGCTTTGAGAACACTTTCATGATCAATCATTATAAAACATATCATATATATTATTCTGAAATGGACCAATCTGCACAATGACTACTTTTACTGTCACTACTTTCACTATATTTTGATGAGAATACTTTTCTACTTTTACTTGAGGAACATTTTGAATGCAGGACTTTTACTGTAACAGAGTATTCCTACACTCTGGTACTTCTACTTTTACTCAAGTACAAGATCTGAGTACTTCTACTTTTACTCAAGTACAAGATCTGAGTACTTCTACTTTTACTCAAGTACAAGATTTGTGTGCTTCTACTTTTACTCAAGTACAAGATCTGAGTACTTCTACTTTTACTCAAGTACAAGATCTGAGCACTTCTACTTTTACTCAAGTACAAGATCTGAGTACTTCTACTTTTGCTCAAGTACAAGATCTGAGTACTTCTACTTTTACTCAAGTAGCCTACAAGATCTGAGTACTTCTACTTTTGCTCAAGTACAAGATCTGAGTACTTCTACTTTTGCTCAAGTACAAGATCTGAGTACTTCTACTTTTACTCAAGTAGTCTACAAGATCTGAGTACTTCTAAATATACTAAAGTACCATATGTTTTTTTGGTTGCTCATTTTTACTTTAACTTCTTGTCTTTAGACACATATTTTTTGTATTGCAAGTTTTTACTTCAACTCTTTCTGTTTATATATATTTAGTCTATTTTATTCTACATGTTCCGTTCACTTAAACACAATATGTCAAAGTGATGTATCCACCTGTTAATGAGTGTAATGTAATGTCTTCTAAACATGTTTCAACCGTCCCCAGTCTCCACTACTTAGATCCCCTAAAAGCAGAGGTGAAATGTAACCAAGTACAGTTCAATCAGGAGAGGCTTCATTTTGTACGAGAACATTTATTGACACATGTCACATAATAAATGTTAAGTCTTTGGCGATTAGAGCCCGATCCTGAAATCGTATATCTAAAGGGGGAAATGCAGCCGTGAGCATATAAGGAACCCCCCGGGGTCTAGACACTGGTGATGATGATGAAGATCTGGATTTGATGAGGAGATGGGATGAAGGGGAGGTGTGATGAGGTCTTTGGATAACTCTCCTGGCACTGGATATGATGAAAGTGGTGGATGGGGTGGAGGCGGGCAGCAGCATGACGACCTGAAATCACAGCTGACTGCAGGAGAGAGGAGAACCATTTTAAAGTTTGGCTGCAGCTCAGTGATTGGCTGCT